TGCTACTACTACCATTACTGCTACTCCTACTACTAGTACTACTACTGCTGCTACTACTACTACTACTACTACTACTACGACTGCTACTACTACTACTACTACTACTACTACTACGACTGCTACGACGACCACAACTGGTAGTGGTAATGATAGCGTTGATGGCAGCAGTAGTGTGCGTGTGGTGGTAGTGGCAGTCGTAGTTCTTCTGATGGTTATTGCTTTGTCGTCGGCGCTGCAGCTGTGGTTGCGGACTGAGCAAGGATGAGTGCCGAACTGGTTCTTCTCAAGATTGCCGGCAGTGTGCCGAAGCTTCTTGATCTCCTGCGACTGGCGGATCATGGCGGATCTACAAGAGGCAAGCTGATGCAATGAATCACGATATGATTCTCGCGCTGACAATTCCCTTCGAGCCTAAACCCGAAAGCTGTCCTGGTCACGTTCCCAGAGCAGGCGTTCCATTCGCCTGCTTCCGCATTCAGGGAAGGAACATGTGAAACACCGAGCCCTACTAACTCTGGTCGGTATTTCAACCATTCATCTTATTTGACTCCTAGACAGTCCAACTTATCCTAGCATTTAACCCCACTCACCTTGTTTGACTCCTAGACAGATAAACATTCCCGCGTGCAGCCATGTTTGGCTGGAGGATTCGCAAGAAGTCAGGTTTCCGCGGCTCCGGCCATCTCTTGCTCATTTTAGTCCCAGCGGCTGCAGCTCCTCCTCGAGCTTCGCGAGCTCCAAACCACCCCGCTCCACGCCTGGCTTCAACTCAAAGCGATGGCTCGAGCCTTCTGGCATGTTTACCCGCGGTGAAGAAGTTAGCAATCGGAACAGGAGATAAGGACGCCAGCATTTCTTCAGTGGAAGAAGGCTCGGGTTGGGTTGGCGCCGGGCCTGCGGAGAGCAGGAGGTCTTTTCGCTCGGCGTGAGCCGTGAGCCGATCCGTCGCAGATGCAGTGACCTCTCGGCTCAAAGAATGTGAACTGTGTGCATTGCGCTGAAAGGCCCTCACCTCTTTGGCCACCTGCACCTCGGTCTCGACATCTCGCAGCTTGTGCTTCAAACGGTTGCCTCAGCTCGTCATGGAACGGCCTTGAACCGGGCTGCAAACTACCAAGCGACAGGCATTCCCGCTGCGCTTCTGCCAGCTGCGCCTGAGTTCAGCAACACTCAGGAAATGAGAGAGCCAAGCTTCGAACGTCGTAGGCTTGTGAACTACAGCTTCCTGCTGATGGCAACCTGGCTAACCTAGACGTTTTTGTGAAGTCTCATCTGTCAGTGCCTTCATTGCGTGCATCTCGGACTCTTGCGCCGCAAGCACTGCCTGCCGCAGGGGGTTTGCAGGCAACCTTATTAGAAACTGATGTCAAGATCAAATGATGCTAGTGCCGTACAAACGCACTCGTGCACGCGAGGGCTCGGGGCTGGCCCGCGCGTTACAGAGAGGAAGCCAAAACCTTCAAACCCCCCAGATCGTGCAAACATCGGAGCTCTAGTGACACAAACCCCTATAGAGCTATGGAATGATATAAAACCACAGCCACCTTCAGCTCGTGCTTGTCAGCAGCTTCAGGCGGCGCAGTCGAGCGCGGAAGACGGCCAGAAGCTGGCACCTTATTCCAGCAGAATGCACAGCCTAACTATGCCTGAGTACTGGTTGACGACATTGAAGCTCCTAGAGTTGAAGTTGTGGCACAGGCTTTGAATTTTCTTTGCAGCGGAAGAACAGCTTCCCTCAATTACCAAAGCGTGTTGCGGCTTTTCTAGTCTAACATTTTGCAGGTTTGGATAATTACTTGGGATTCGTCATGGAGGTAGATATAATGAAAATCTGGCATGAAGATTTGAAGCCAATGAAAGGTGGAATCTTCATGAACGCCACAACTGCGACAAACGACAAACTGCCGCAGAACGCCTTTGCAGCACTTCAATGCTTGTGGCGATTGGTTGTCATGAAAAGCGCTTCCGACACGTCCTGTACTGTGACTGAGCAAGGAAATTACGGGTTCAAGTTCCTGCACTTTGTAAGGACCGCCACATTGGGAATAACAAGTTCAGTCAACTACTTACGTCTGTTGCTTCACATACTTCGCACAGAAAGGCTGTATCATCGACATGTTAACACTTGCACGAACACTGAAGCGCCCTGTGCCCGAGGCCCGGTCAGTGAAAGCCATGGCTCAAACTCGTAAGACTTGAATCTCAAGCCACTCTTGGCAGTTCTTGATGGAGGTCATGAGAGTAGCAAAACTGTCAGGCGAACATGGTCAGGCAGACATAAACTTGCAAATAAATCATTGAGCCGGTGGGTGCTCATGCAGCCGTTGCAAGCTCGAACCAAACGTGGCCGACTTCATACCAATGGCCTACACACATCAGTATAGGTACAGCTACAGTATATACTGTGCTTTCGTTAGTTATGGCGACAGAATCTTGACGGCGATCACCATCACCTTTGCTGGTGCCAACATCATCATGTCCATCAGGGAGCTGCCGTTATATGCTGCATTCGACCTTTGATATGGACAGGGTCCTGTGCTGACAGGTGCCACAGCGTACCCTCGCGAATGGGAACACCAAGGAGCGGCTGGTCCGGCGATGAAGAGTACCTGCCCGGATTGCACGACAGCACGCGAGCATGTTGAGTGGACCTTGCGGCATCTTGTAGCACCGCAAGCCCACTGTTGCCATTGCGAAATTTGACAGGGGATGGTGTTTCATGCTAAGCCCTCAGTTCCTTTCCACTCATGTGTTTAACGGCATCTTGAACCTCTCATGGCCCGAAAAATTGCAGATCTGGCAAGCTGTGTGTGTGTGTGCGCCTCGTGCAGCTCATGCATGAAATTTATACGCGACAGAAACACACGAGGCTTGAAGGCACCCTCAATCTAGTCCTGTCATGCTGCCAGAGCACCATCGGTTATGTGCCCATGCCCAATCCAGGCTGCGGCAGTGATCTGTTTCGCGCCACACTCTGATCTAATACTACGGGTACTGCTGCTGCTGCTGCTGCTGCTGCTGCTGCTGCTGCTGCTGCTGCTGCTGCTGCTGCGGTTGCTCCTGCTACTGCTGCTGGTACTCCTACTGCAGTAGTACCACCACTACCACTACCCGTACCACCAATACCACTACCACTGACTACGACGACGACTACTCCTACTACTGCTACTGCTACTACTACTACTACTACTACTACTACTACTACTACTACTGCGACTCCTACTACTCCTACGACTCCCGTTGCTACTCCTACTAGTAGTAGCAGCAGTAGTAGCCGTCGTAGTAATAGTCGTCGTCGTGGTGGCAGTAGTCGTCGTCGTCGTGGCAGTCTACCAGCACCACTACCACTATCACTACAACTGCCAATACGACGACGACGACGACTACTACTACTACTTCTGCTCAGTCCGGGGGTTGCGTGGTGTTTAGGATGAAAATCTCCCCAGCCCGCCGCGGAGCACGTCTGCATGCGAGGAACCAGGTGCTTCGGTCTGGGGACCCGAATCTCCAGTGCATCCTCGTAGTCTCCGAGTTGCACAATGGGCCTCAGCACCAGAGCTGACGGTTTTCTTCTCTCGTGAAAGCACAGTTCGCACTCAGCACGCTGGGCAGCGAAGCTTGTGGAACTGCTGCGGCTGGCCATCGTCCGTGTCGCAGACCTGGCCAAGGAAAAGCTCCCCGCCAGCACACCCCCCCTATCCCAATGCAGACACTTAAGCTTGGGTTCAAAATTACCAGCAGGCGGGCCATCTCGAGGAAGCTTCTTCTTGCGGGCAGGATTGCCACATGCAACTTCAGGAATCCCCGAGATCCAGGCACATCCTCTGAGCAATCCTGAGCAGGACCGTAGCACTTTAAGCTTGCAAGAGCCAGAACTGGAGAGACACGATCCTTGCTACAGGTGACCCGCCTGGCACGACATTTAGCGCCCTTCTGACTGAGGTCCGTGCCGAGCATGACACCATCCCCCATGCAAGGGAAGCAAAGTGATGCTGGCTCGCTTGTGTCGTGCTACGAGCAGCCCCCTTTACAGAGCCCTGGGCTGAGTCGGCGTCGGCTCTGAATCCCTTCGAAATGCCGGACTGTAGTGCACCGGAGGGACATGAAGGCGTGAAGGCGTAGGTGATTTCTGGTCTGTGCCTTGTGCTGTTGGGAACCCCCGCAAGCAGACTGTCGAAGTGTATGTCGGCCTGGGTCAGTTGAGACTCCCATAGATGCTCACAGTCTTAAAGCTGAAAGCCAGTGCATGCGACGGAATCGGTGAAAGTCTTTGTCCAGTTTCTAGAAAGACTGCGTAAGCTTTGGGCCAATAGCAGCCGACGAAGCGACTTATTCTTGACGCAGTTGAGCAGGATCAACAAGAAAGCGAATGGTCCTACATTCGGCAGGCGGCGAATATTGGCCGAATGACCTTAACTTTGTGACTCGAACTTCAGGCTGCAAATCCCACTAACTCAAGGTCTCCACTCGGCACGAGCTTGCCCAGATCGGATGCTTCATGATCGCGGGTATTCGACGACAAACAGCATCATGGTAGTGCTTTGCTGCCTGCGCTGGGGAGCTCAGACGGAGGGCGACATGATTCAAGTTTACTCTGGGCTCATGTTCGCTCAACCTGAGGACAGAGTTTGTCTTGCGTCCCGTGATGGCAAGAAACATGATGCCGCCCCGGTGTTTTTAAGAGCTGCTGACACTTGTGGTCCTGCGGCACCATCCCGCTGACAGCCAGCCCTGGTAGTGAGCTACAGACACCTCGTCCGGCATGCGCGCTGATTTGCGACTTTTTGACTACCTGCTTTACACCGAGACCGCAAGTGAATCCGGGTAATAGTCGAAGCCAGCTATTGACGTTCGAAAATATTGAATTCATAACCACTAAGACTAAGCTGCTAAGCTTCTTGCCTGCCACAACCACTACCGACGGAGTCGCGTTTTCCAGAGCCTTCGGCCCACATCTCGCATCATGCCTTGAGGCTTTGCAGAAACGAATTTGCTCTGAA